AGACCACTACCTTATATGGAAGCCAATTTTTAACACATGACAATGTCTTAATCACACCCGTTGTCCAATCAAGCGACTGAGTCTCTAAGCACGACAATCTACCATGTGTTTATTATTCAATGGCGACACATGGTTTTCTTCGGTTTACTGCGCAATATTTAACTTGACACCAGAAAAACTGTATAGCTTCTTTGTCACTTTATAAGACCGAAATTGAAAGTTAATTATATTCTAAAGACATTGCTCCATGCTCATATTTAATATTGGAGTTGTTTTAGTTGATTAATAGTTGCTTCTAATACCTTAAAAACACTTTGACGTTTGCATGTACATAAAACACTTTCTGATAATATTGTGGAGTTAAATAATAATTGCACACCCTCTCCTGCAGTCTAAAACCAAGGACCTATGTACTACCTGCTAAAACTATGTTCACGTATATCACGTGGAGAAAAACTCAGTGTTTTATCGACACGATAGCACCTACGTCTCTTTGAACAATGTTTATAGGCCGATGTTTTATAAGTTGATATAAGGCTTCATAGCGCAAATTTTGTAAATGTGAGCATAGAAATGAAAGATTATACATCATTTTAAAAATTTCTTTCACAAATCTCAAAAAAGAATTGGAAATAAGTTTCCAAGGAACAATTCGAGTTTCCTTTTATTTTCAACACAGCTGGGTACTAGTAGTAGCCCACAATGCATTGCGGTTCATTCATCAGTAGGTAAAGTAAACAGATATGCAAATTTATGCTGACGTCAGAAATTCTAGTGGTCTCGACCTGTTCAACTGAAGTTGATTTTCTATACTTGGGAACCGAATTAGATGCCGAAATCACAATTTATCAATGGCACAATGCTCCTAGAACTCACCAATAGCGATGAATAGAAATTACCACTCCACATTCCGATTAAGAACTTGCACGATTTTAAAATGCACGAAATGAAAACAAATCTCGACAGCCAGATAAAATGTGTTCATCGGATTATATTATTTCATAAACGAAACATAAAAACGATGTTGGTGAGTACTATAAAGGTTTTGTACTATTGATAATATTTGAATTCAGCATTTAATTCGGTTTACAAGTATCGAAAATCAACCTCTGAATGCCGCCTCCGGTTGGAGGCGGCGATTTCCCAGTTTTCGTAATGGCGCCGGTTCTGACGTTTTCCTGGCATGTAAAATATCAAAATCGTAAAAAAGCCAGAAAAACGTCAGATTTTTCGGACTAGTAAAAATAATGGAATGATTTCATTTGATAAATTTTATTTAATTAATTCATATGAATTTCATACAAGACACAATAAACTACAAGTATCTATAATATAAAATGAAAGAATTTTTTCCACATGTAAGATCGTTTTGAAGACATGCGTACATTCTTGAAATACATTCATAAGAATGTATCCCTTTCGAAAAAAATGTTTTCAAGGTCATGGATATAAATAATGATCAAGGCAGCGAGAGTGTCACTTGTACTAGTAGTAATTCAGTATGATTTGCAGTGGCAGATCCAGGGGGGGGGGGGTACGGATTAGCAAAAAAAGGAAGAGAAGAAAGTCACCCATTTTGATGTGTTTTACCTAGTAATAAAAAATGTTCAGTGAAAGGCTATGTTGTAATATATAAAGAAATTCGGTTGAGAATACATAATTAAACCCCACCCTCTTTACAAAACAAGAATTTCGGGTTCGGAGATATATTTGCCTTTCTTTTTCAAAAACTTTCAGGTATATTATACAAGTAGATCTACTTTTTCCCAGATTGATCAACCTCCCACTTTTAAAAGAAACCAAACTGTGTAAAACATATAATAAATCCTTTCCCCTTTACCCCCCCCCCTCCCCACCCCAACGCCTTTGAAAAACTCCTTTAATCCCTCCTTCGAAAAATTTCTAGATCCGCTAAACAGTTTTTATTATTTTCGTTCTCCTGGACCTGACTAAGGATAAATGTGACTTGACAATACATTGATAACAGTCAATACATTGAGATGCCATTAGTGTAATTTTATCATTCTAACAATGCCACCTTTTTCTACACTACAGGACTACTCTGATCATGGACCCCCGTACCAGTGCCCAGGACGTGATGCGATGTGACCTGTGTGAGACCGCTGTGGTACAGATGCACTGTGATACATGTCTTGTCAACCTATGTAAAGCCTGTGTGGGAGAGCACATGGTATCTGTTGAATCCAAAAGACATGAAGTTGTTCAATTCAAGCTTAGAAAATCTACGCTGCTCTTCCCTGGGTGTAAAATTCATGACAAACAACAATGCACAATTTACTGTAATTAATGTGACATTCCTGTGTGTAATACCTGCCTTGCTTCTGATCAACATTTAGGTCATAAATTATCAAAAATATTACAAGTTCTCGATGCAAAAAAGGAAAACATAATTAAAGAAAAAATTGAGCTAAATAAGACAATTTACCCAACCTACCAGGACATTGCCTCTGATGTACAAAACAGAATGAGTCAGTTAGAAAAGGAATATGGAGATCTCTCAACAGCCAATTAACAAAACATGAAGAGGACTGGCACAGAGAAATTGACAAACTTGTCCAGAAACTTAAAGCTGAAGTTGATGAGATGAAAAACACACAATTACAAATTCTACAGAAACATCTGGATGAAATAAACAAGACAATGTCTGACATCAAGGATGAAATCGATTCACTTGATGTTGCTGTGGAATCTAATGACTTGTCAAAACTATTTAAACTTGCATTCAGTGTAGAGAGATATAGAAATCTTCCACAAAAAGTTCTGCCATCTTTACCTACATTCACGCCATGCAAAATCAAAGGACAAGATCTTAGTAAAATATTTGGAACTTTATCGTCGAGTTCTTTAACATACCCTTACCAAAATATTGACCTTCTGGCAACATCTTCTGGCTTTATTGCCGCAATATTGCAGCAACATTCTGGCAATACATTGCTGCAATATTGCGGCTATATCGTTTTTCGTATGTAAATTAGTTTTGCGGCAATATTGCCAGAAAGGGGTTGCGGCAATATTGCTGCAAATCATGACCAAAATATTGATCTTCTGGCAACATCTTCCGGCATTATTGCCGCAATATTGCGGCTATATCGTTTTTCGTATGTTAATTAGTTTTGCGGCAATATTGCCAGAAAGGGGTTGCGGCAATATTGCTGCAAATCATGACCAAAATATTTTCTTCTGGCAACATCTTCCGGAATTATTGCGGCAATATTGTTTTTTGTATGTAAGTTAGATATAAATTGGTATTTAATAGAAATTATGATCTATCAATCTAACAATTAACAAACTGTGCTGAGGAATATAACAAACAATAGCGAGCCACAGGGTCAATAAGAAATAGCTACTTCTGCTAGAAAATAATGTTGATCATCAGAATGAAAATCAAGATATGTTTGTGAAACACTATGCGCCTGGTGGCTATAAAGTTTGAAAAAGCTATTTATAGCATATGGGTCACAGTCAAGGTCACAAGGTCATTGATCTTGGTGTCATTTGAAAGAACTTAATTAGTGGAGTATACATACTAAGTATGAAGTCTCTATCTCTTATTGTTCAAAATTTATGGCAGAGGATCAAAATGGCTATTTTTAGCATATGAGTCACAGTAAAGGTCAAATTGTCATTGACCTTGGTGTTACTTGAAAGAGTTTAAATAGTGAAGGGTGTATACCAAATATGAATTCTCCATCTTTTATGACTCAAAAGTTATGTCGAAGTTTCAAAAAATCTATTTTAAGTATATGGTCACAGTCAAGGTCCCAAGGTCATTGACCTTGGTGTTATTTGAAAGAGCTTAATTAAGGAAGGGTGCATACTTAATACACGTTCTCTATCTTTTATGGCTCAAGATTTATGTCCAAGGTTCAAAAAATCTATTTTAAGGATATGGGTCACAGCCAAGGTCTCAAGGTCATTGACCTTCAGGTGTCTTTTGAAAAAGCTTAATTAGTGAATTATGCAAGCTAAATATAAAGTCTCTATCTTCATTAATTTTAAGTTATGGTGAATATTCGAAAAAGCTATTTTTAACATATAGGTCACAGTCAAGGTCACAAGGTCATTGACCTTGATGTCATTTGAAAGAACTTAATTAGTGGAGTAGACATACCAAATTTGAAATCTTTATCTCTCATTGGTTCAAAAGTAATGGTGAAGGTTAAAGTTTACAAACAGACAGGACAAAAAACAATATGTACCCCCGATCTATCAAGACGGGCGCATAAAAAATGTTTATATAGAAACAATATTAATATGCCACTGTGCAAATGTCCAGCAACTCTGCATTAATTTTCAAATATATACATGCTTTAATTCATCTTTTCCTGCTACTCTAGGATATATAGACATACAAGTCTGAGTAGTATGCATGCATCACAAGCACTAATTGAAACACATATAATTTTTCCAATTTTATCTCCATTGAATCACTCATCTCAAAAAGAATACTGGTTTTGACTCACCAAGTCTGATGATATGGAAACAGAGTACACATTCCTATAATTCTGCTTAAATTCTTTTTTCTAGTCATTCCACACTATGCAGTCTTACTACTCATCTTCACTAATCCCACTGTACACATTTAACAACTCTAATTAACTTAATACAAGTCAGTAATGAAGCAAAACATGCTTGCCTTTGAATTCCCTCCACTTTATTTAAAAAGAGGAAGTAAATGACTGAGCATGCTCAACAAATGGCTCATGGGTAATCCTAGATGTTGCCAGAAAGTTTTTTTCTGGCAGTATTGCCAGAATGTCACCGGAAGTTGTTGCAGCTAGCGGTGATATTTCATTTTTTCTGGCAGTATTGCCAGAATGTCACCAGAAGTTGTTGCCGCTAGCGGTGATATTTCACTAACCCAAAAAGCTTGTTTCTGGTGACAAAAATGTGTTGCTGCAATGTTGCCGCAATATAGCGGCAATATTGCTGCAATAATTTTACTTTGGTAAGGGATATCAGATAAACATGGCTACAGCATGAATACAACACAGAAATCACCAGAAGCTGGAACCTCTCCTCCAGTCAAACAGCTGCTTGATAAACCAGAGACTGTCACCACCATATACACTGGGTATGATGATTACCTTTACAATGTGGCCTGTCTGAGTGATGAAGAAATCTGGACAAAAGGAAATGACAGCACCAAGAAACTCTACAGCATCAATCAGGGATCACTACTCAAGTCAATCACAACTAAGTCAGGGGACGAACCACACGACATAGCAGTGACAAAAAGTGGAGATCTAGTTTATGCTGATAACATTGATGGAACTGTGAACATTGTGAAGAATGAGAAGATAGAGGAGGTGATCAAACTACAGGACTGGGTACCTCACGGTGTCTGTAGTACCACCTCTGGTGACCTCCTGGTTATCATGGTCAGTGATGATAAAAAACAAACAAAAGTTGTCCGTTACTCTGGCTCCACAGAAAAACAAACCATTCAGTTTGATGATAAAGGTAAACCTCTCTATTCAACTGGTAATAGATACATGACTGAAAACAGGAACCTGGATATCTGTGTGTCTAACTGGAGAGCTAAAGCAGTAATGGTGGTCAATCAGGCTGGGAAACTCAGATTCAGGTACACTGGACATACTCCTTCTCTAAAGAACAATTCATTTGATCCACTAGGAATCACCACAGACAGTCAGAGTCACATCCTTACAGCTGATTATTACAATAACTGTGTCCACATCATAGACCAGGATGGACAGTTCCTCCGTTACATTGACTGTGGACTGAGTAAACCCTGTGGACTGTGTACAGATACAAATGACAATCTGTTTGTTGCTGATCAGTATAGAAAAAGACAAGTGAAGGAAATCAAATATCTAAGTGAAATTTAACAGTGTACCAGTACATATTAAAATGTTTTAAAAATAAATTTCTTTTGTGTTTCAACATCATTAAGAGAATTAAATCAAATCAAATAGCCACAGACACAACATAAATTAAACAGTTACAGGTTACTGGAGAATTGTGTATCGCATTAATTAAGTCTAATGCTATCAATACTGACTTGAGTAAATGAAGTATTGAATACTGGTAGGCATATAAGCATTATTCAAGGTAAAGAAATCCCTCGGTTTACATCATTCCTGTCAATTGTTAGAAAAATTATTTGATACTATGATAATTCCCATTTTGCTTTATGGGAGCGAAGTACGAGGTATTGACTTCGTCCAAAAAAATTATGGCTCAGCATCTTATGAATAATTTCATATTAAATTTTTAAAAGAAATCCTAGGAGTCCACTGTAAAACTTCAAATAACGGTTGCTATTCTGAACTCGGGAGACTCCCAGTCAGATCAAAAATAACTATGTTTGCTATCAAATACCTTGATCATTTAATTTCAATGGAACATACATTGGCACATGAAATTTTTATCAAAAATAAAGAAACTAACACATGGTCTCTATGTTTAAAAACTTGTCTTAATAACTTAGGATTTTCTTATTTAACAAATTTAAATATGTCAATGAAACCAGTGCTTAGCATTATTAAACAACGCATTCATGATCAAATATTACAAGAACAAAATGCAAGTATTATGAATTCCTCAAAACTGTCTTTTTATCAGAACTTTTGTCTTAATAATAAACGTGCACATTATGTTGACAAACTAGAGTCACTGCATGATAGATCATTTTTAGCAAAAATTAGATTAAGTGCACATAACTTAGAAATTGAAAAAGGTAGATATGTTGAAACTAATAAAAATGATAGGATATGTAAAGTATGTCAAAACTTTGATATTCAGCAAGAAAAACACTTCATTTTGCTATTTCCAAAATATGAAGCACAGAGAAAAATATTCAAAACAAAATTATCCACTTTCCCTAACTTTAACCAAACAATTGATAATAATGACAAATTGTTAAAAGTATTGATGAATACTAGTTGTAAAAAGGTTCTTAAAATATTATCATCATTTTTATGTCAAATATCTGATATAACAAAAAAAATTCTTTACTCATAAATGAGTATAACTATATTGTACTGAATCATATGTATGTATTTAGTATTTGATAAGCACAATACATAATTTGCTACACCAATTGTTTGTATCCTGTTGTGTTCTACTGTATTTTCATACTTTATATCACTATGTTTGTGTTTGTGCCAATAAAATATTTGTATTTGTATAATTTTGTTCAGACAATGTAACAAAGTAATTTACGAGTCGCTGGTAAAACTCAGTTTGTGACAGTTAAATCAGCATTAACAGTTGCAAATGCCAAATAAAAATATAGTTATTCCCTATATCAAAACATGCACATGTTCTCCCCTTTCTCAGAATACTAAAGGGTATCACATATTTAATATTTTTAAAGATTTCGTTAAAAAAAATAAGAACATGTGTTATTTAATTTATCAGCACAGATTTCAGTGTCATATAATTATATAAAACAATGCATGTCAGATATATTAATTCCATGCTTGAAATAAAAACTGTCATAAAGTTTGACATATTTTATTTTAAAAATACTTTTCACATTGACAATTTCAATGTTTTGATAAGGATGTACATGTATTAAATGCGTAGCAAATATAGAAAGCAGTCACAACTCCATTTCTGTCATGTTTTTCAAAACCGTAAAATTTCCATCTACAACAAGTAATCATATCTTGTAATCATATAATTCTTTAAAATATGTGGTAAATATACACAGATAGTATCAATAAATATGGCACTCTTTCCATTTTTTTTTAATTTTCATTAAAATTTGTTGAAATATCAGCTCAGGTCAGACCTCAAGGAAGATTAATTCTCATGTTTCTTCCATCTTTCTTATCCTTAAAGTCCTTTGTGTGTTGAAGTCTCTCAGTTTGTCACCTTCCAGCCTAAATGTCCCCCTAAGAAAATAAAAGTCATAATCAAATAAAAATAACTATAATTTTATTCAACCTCCCCATAGAGAAAGAAGCCATGATCAAATGAAAGATACATGTATAATATATTATCCCATGTTTACTCCTTTATCCCGTTGATATAGCTCATGTGATATCGGTTTCGTATCACACAGTTGTGACGTCACAATGGGTATTGCGTTAAAGTGATGAAGTAAAATGAAGTGGAGTCCTATTTAAAACCAGTGTTAAACATAAATTTGTGGTGTAAAAAACATGGGATAAAAAGAATCTCACATGATTTGTAGTTGGATATAATTTTTATCCAACTCGTTGTGTGTTTTTATCCCCTCGCCAAGGCTCGGGGATAAAAAGCACACAACTCGTTGGATAAAATCATATCCAACTACAAATCACAGGGCTCAACATTAACTTTAAAATTAACTAGACCAGTCGGACTAGTAGCTGGAAAATTTACTAGACCTGACCTCAATTTCACTAGACCTGACCTAATATCTGTGGTTTACTGAATTAATATTAAATCTGAAAAAAAAATATCATGAAGAGAAAAACGCATAGTTGAATAACATTGTCAGTGTAAGCAAATTGATGCTTATCATTTAACTTGGTTTTGCTGCAAAAAAAATTAAAGAAAATAATGATTAATAAATTCAAGAAAATATCAGAAAGGGAGATGTATTTCAATTCGATTTGGTTCTATGATTGGTTAAATGAAATAACAGCATGCAACAGTTGTTGAGCAGAAAGGAAAAATCTTGGTATAGATAGCATTTATAATTAAGAGAAAGTCAAATGACAGCATGATTTATGAAATATTGATATGTATACTAAGGAATAAAATATGTTTGTTTCCTGTAATCATGGTAATATTACCCTAAAAACAAGAGTTTTTTTTGGCTTAATACGATCTCATAAATTGACATAAGAAACTTCCCAGTTTAAAACTTTTATTTTCACTTTGTATAATGCCTAAATAAGGGGTTCAAACATCCCGGACTGAACTAACCAGGTTTGATATTTACGGTGGACACCCATCATGGCTGTCTTGCGGTAGAAAACGAAGTTCCAAAAGTTGTTGGGGATTGCTAAATGATATAATAATTATCATTACTTTTTATATTTAAAGTGAATGTTGACTAGGATGACATATTTCATATCTCAAATATTGTATCAGCTGATTGATCAAACACAGATTTGGCAGAAAAAATTCCACCGGCTTCATTTACTGTAATTCGGGAAACAAACTAATTTTTTAAAGTTCATGATTTTTTTAGTTGGGATCAAAAAATGAAAGTGAAACCTGATTGAAAACATCGATAAACAAGAAAAATCTGTAAATTTGTTGCAAGTTTTGCTTCATTTGAATTTTGGTTGAAATATTTTTACACGACCAGCCGGGCTACCATGAAACAAAATAAACTAATACCTAACTTTTACTAGTCTGGGTCGGTCGGACGTGCCTTAATGTTGAGCCCTGAAATCATGTGAGATCCTATATTTATCACTTTAACAACCTCTCTTTTAATATTTGGTTCATCCAGCAGAAATAAGTACATGTACAAGTATGACTGTCTACTAATAACTGTGGTACACGTAGCATTTCCTAAGTGTTTAACATATTATCAGATTATTTTAGAGATTTTATCATGCAGAAACAAATTTAAAAATTGTCATACTGAATGTATGTCCCTCCTGAATGGTCAGTATGGTCCTTTTGAGGGCCACACTGTTTAAATAGTTGTAAGGCACTGACCCCTGTAAGGGGCCTCCACTTCCCCGCCTCGTCACTGACCTCCCACCTCGGGGACCCGGAATACTGAGGATTATTAAATTTAACATGTATATATATATATATACTCCAACCTTTAGTAAACACTGGGTTATGAATGAGATGTTTCGACTTTCCATTGAGAATTAAAAAAAAAAACACTTTATTTGTGATCATATGTTAAAAATGAGTGTAAGACCAATTGAAAGAAGAAGGTATTGTTTCCATTCAAATTTTGCCCTGTGATTTTCTAAAAAATGAAACTGGTGTAAAAGTTGAAAACTCCTGATTTTTAAAAAATTGAAATTCAATACAGAAAAATCATACAAGTCATTTTTCTCACGTGTTTTAAAATGCTAATCATGACGTCATAAACATGTACATTTTCTCATATTTTCTTAAAAAGTTGCAGAAGACACCAATTTTCAATGGAATTTTCTTTCAGATAACATTGTCCACAGGCATCGCCCACAAAGATCTTGAGATATGTGATTTGTTATTGAATTTTGCACAAAATATCAAAAAAATAACATTGGCGACAGCTGGACACTGTTTTCTAAAGGAAAATCATCCTTGAAATGTGCCATTTTGGGGCTTTTTTATGTTGAAAATAGAAAAATGCTTCACATAAATGACGTCATATTTGCAGAATGGTAAATCTTCATGCCATATTCTTTCCTGATTCATCAGAGTCATTTATTTAACTAATATTTAAGCAAGTTTCAAAAATTTTTGATGTCATTACATATTTAGGGCGCAATAAAGCTAAAACCATACCTTCTTTTTTTTTAAATATTAATTGCACAGTCTTGCTACATGAATATTGATACAATCAGAAATCAATATCTGTTTTTAACTAAGGAATTACCTCCCTACCCCCCCCAATATATACATGTACTACCAAATTCTCGGTGTAGGCCCCTAAAACTTTTTAAGTCATTTCTTGTAAGTATAAAAAATAATGTTTCATCACTGATATAATGTGCAAGTGATAAATCATTACCAATTAGGCCTTCAAAGTCAATGAGAGGAGATTCTCTACAAAGGAAAAAAATGGTAATAAATAAAGTTATCACTGA